ACTCTGTCTTGAATTATGTTTTTTTGCTAGAGTATTATTGAATTTGATTCCCATCTTAAAAAAAGCCAACCTGATAGGGACAGTAATTTCGTAACAGTAAACGATCACTATTATTGAAGAAGAAGATACAAAGGAGGGCACTTCGAATCCTTATTTATACACTACCACACTTATTTAATATACTTCTATTATTATTAGTATTATTATACTAATGAGTTCCTATCACAACCTGTTTGGAAGAGTAAAACAACATCCAAGCCTTAATTCCAAAAGATTTTGGGGTCGCCTAACATGAATCGGTCCATGATATAAGTGCTAAAAATAGAAGAAAGATATGGGGAAAAAAGTAAGATAAAATGGATGAGATAAAGATAAATATAAGATAGCAATAACATAAGATTTTATATACTAGTTTGTTATTTAATGTCAACCTCAGGAACAAGCACTTCTGGATCGTGCAATTTTTAATCCTTCCGTCTCATAGGTGCACTGGCCTTTCGAAGTCTAACTTCTTATCTGAACCGTGCCATTTGTTTTCATGAAATCACTTACTCTCACTGTATGACACCTTATTTGGACCACCACTGATTTTATAGCTCATCTCAAATTACTGCATTAAGGCTTACTGACTAACCTAAGAATATGAGTAGCCCAAAATGTTATGTGATGGTTTTGTTTCATATTTAGCCAGTGCGAGACAAGATTTTCAACCGTTATTGTAGTACTTGTGTTTCTTGACATTGTTTCTTATAAGCAAACTATGTTATAGGTGGGAAGTCCCTTTTCCTCGTATAATAAAACGGCTTTATTCACCAGACATGGAGGGTACTGATCCTCGATTTATAAAGTTGGAACCTGTGTTTAGATGTTCAAAGTTAAAATGTGGTGACAGGCAAAGGTACATCATTCTTAGTTGTTAGTGATACTTCTTACTCTGATATCAACTAAAGATACTTGATATCTACACACTAATATATGTTCCATATGTTTATTCATATTGTTACTAATTTATAGGTTTTCTCCTGTTATTTTCGCATTTCACAGCATTCCTTTAACAGTGGAGTGGTCTATGTCATCCTCACATGATATGATTCTAGCTGGATGTCATGATGGAGTGGTATTAGCTATGGATCTCTCATTCTGTCTCTTTTCATTGACAAGTTTCTTCCTCATTTAAAATAAGAAAACATTGGTGGTCAACACTGCCTTCAATTTTGCGTGCCCCTGATCAGTTCTCTCTAGATTTGTTTTTGAGTATTTTGCATTTTTTTTGAAAATGAAAAGTTTATCTTTTTCCACTTTCATCTACAAAGTTGTCATCTAGTCCGGCATTTATAAGAAGTACCCTTTGTTTGCGAAGAATCAATTGATGAAATAATAACTTTTCTTCAGGTTGCCTTGTGGAAGTTTTCTACTACAAACTCTTCTAAAGGTATCTTTATTGCATTTTTCATCTTTACTTAACTTTGTGTCAAGTCTTCTCCTTCTTGGGAAGCTAAGGTTTTTTTTAACATCAAATCTCTTGAGAATTTCATGAAAATAATGAATTGTGGCTACTGTATCCATTCTTATATGGAGACACAAGGCCTTTGCTTTGCTTCAGTGCAGATACAGTTCCCATCAGGTCACTTGCTTGGGCACCTTTTGAAAGGTTAGTAATTAGTATAATAGGTACTTGATATTTTACAAAGACTAGTTGAGAAGGTTTATTAATACACTTTCTCTCAACCGTCTTTATTATGAATTGAGGAAGCCTCTCATCACTTCTCATCATTTTGATTTTTTTTCCATGTCTATGAAACTAAATGGCATAATGATAAATTTGTAGTAGTTCTGAGAGTGAAAATATTATCATCACTGCTAGTCACAAGGGCTTGAAGTATTGGGACTTACGGTAAGACGGTAATTATGCTTGTAAAATTTACTAGCAAGTCCGTAATGACTCCTTTCAACTAAATTCTTCTTTAACTTTCTTCTGCCACAGTTCTTTTAAAAAGTCAAAATATGTAGTTTCACAGAACATTCTTTTGAGGAAAAAGGGTCAACTAAGCCCTTCTACTATTTGTAATCCGTCACTTAGGATGTTTTCTTTTGGACTAAAATTTGCTGGTCTGGTCTGGTCTGGTCTGTTTAAGTCTAGTCTGGTCTGGTCTGGTAAACGTCTGGTCTCTGTGTATTTTATAACTACGTAAGTCTGGTCTGGTCTGGTCTGTTTAAGTCTGGTCTGGTCTGGTCTGGTCTGTTTAAGTCTGGTCTGGTCTGGGACTGAAAACAGTCCAAAAGAAAACATCCTTATGCCCCTGTACTAAAATAAGTATCATATATGTACGTCTACTTTTAAAATACAATCAACCAAGCCTTTTGACCTGCTATAGCAGGTTATTTTTTTAAAAAATTAAATTAGGAATATTGATAAATCTTACAAAAATTCATATAAATTTGAATAAATAATCTAATAATAATATAAAAATAGATAAAATTTTAAAAACATTAAATTAAAAAAACAAAAAATTATAAAACTGAAAAATAATGTGAAAATAAAAAAAGAAAAATAAAAACTTTAAAAACCTTTTTAATAGATGTCGAATATCAAAATATATTAAAAAATTTAAAAATAATGACTTTGTTATTCTGAAATTTTTCACAATTTTTGTATACATTTTTTTTTTCAAATTTTAACAATTTTTTAGAATTTTTAAGTATAAAACACCTGCTATTACAGTTCAAAAGCTGATTAAATGGTCAAATTGATCCATTTTGTAACGTAGACGTGCTTATATGATACTTTTTTTAGTACACGGGCTTATGTGACGGTTTGGAAATAGTACAAGGGCTTATTTGAACCTTTTTCCTTCTTTTGATGATATAATGCTTGTTCTGTAGTGATCCATTCCAGCATTTGCGGGAATACAATCCTGGTCAAGGAGTGGGTGTATATAGCTTGGATTGGTTGCGAGATCCAAGGTCTGTGAGACTGATATTCTCTTATTCTATCTGGTTGATATCAATAGTACATTCCAAATTTAGTCTCTCATTCAAATTTGACTGTCAATGGTGAAGGTGTATTCTTGTAGCTTGCGATGATGGAACCCTAAGGATTCAGAGTGTGGTAAAGGCTGCCAATGACTTCCATGTGTCCGGAAAACCACTCACCATATCTAAACAACATGGATTTCACACCTATATGCGGTCTTCCTATGCAATATGGAGTCTGCAAACTTCAAGGCGAACAGGTTGCTTCTTCTCTCTTACTGAAAGATGAATCATGGTTTTATAATCTTTTATTGGGTTGGAATCCTGTGTCCCAGTGTTATCTCTCTTGCGTAACATTCATTCAGTTTGATATATGTCTATCAATTAATAGCTTCAAGGAGTTATCATTAACTATTAACATGATTTCACGGAATATATGAGTTGCTATTAACTTCAATAGCAACTCTTTTGAGCTGGTACATTCACTTAATCTGGCAAAACTCAGCTGCTCCGAGCACCAATCAAATATAATATAATGACAGTATGAAACAAACATTTTACATGTCCCGGCCTGTCTCAATACTACAACAAGAACATCCCAACCTTAATCCCAAATGAACTTGGGGTTAACTTATGAAATTGGAGCTAAAAAGATTAAAAGTAAAAAAGATAAAATAAAAATAAACAAGACAAAAAGGATAAAGAGTAATACTACGTAGTTCCAAGTTATAAGAGTAATACTAACAGTTACCATCCCCTCTATTTACATAATTCCAAGTTCCAAAAAGGGCAACAAGAAAGAAGCCTCATTTGCACCTTTGAGGTGATAAATGGCCTCATTATGATGACTCGTTCTATAATTTATATGTTCGTTCTTTAATTTAGAGGTGGTGGCATATTGCGGTGCTGATGGTACTGCTGCCTATTTCCAGGTACGTCATTCATCATGGTACTTTTTAATGCTCAAGAGCAGTGGTGCTTGTTATACTTATCACACTCATTCATGTTGCTACTGCATGCTGAATGGATATGAGATATCTAGTTTATTTTGTTTATTATTATAAGCAGTTAACTAAACAAGCCGAGAGCGACGCAGTCAGAAATCGAACTCCACATTTTCTTTGTGGATCATTTGTGGAGGAAGAATCTGCCATAACAGTAATTTCACCAATGCCTAATACCCCATTCCGAATGATCAAGACAAACAAGTGGACAGATTTGTTGAGAACCACGCGCACTTCTGCATCAGGATCACCCAATCAAGAAAAAAGAACAAAGGGGGATCAGTTGAGAAGTCCTCCTTCGTCAGATAAACAACTAGGTAACATTTCGTTCGTCTACACTTGCATTGAAAGAAGCTTAGCTGTTAACTTCGCATTTGAATAGTATTGTCATCTCTGCTTGCCAGTTCTGTATTCTGAGGATGGATCTGATGATCAAGCTCTGGCTCACAAGAACAAACAGGCGCCTAAATTAAAAGCAAACAACATTAAGGAAACAAAAGCTGCTCAACCACCACCTTTCAGTGGTCAAGTAGATGGGTATGAACTGCCTCCCAAGAGTGTAGCAATCCACAGGGTGAGATGGAATATGAACAAAGGCAGTGAGAAGTGGCTATGCTATGGCGGAGCAGCCGGAATTGTTCGCTGCCAGTGGATCGACACTCCCGCTTACTACTGATCACATGCTCATAAATACCATGTGATCATATTTAATTCATTAATTAAACAATGTACATATGCATCATATCATTAATAAAATATCCCCCCCCCTCCCCTAGAAGATGGAGCTGCATATATGTGTACATATATAAATATTTTGAAATTCCAAAATTTCCAGCTTTCCCGGGTAAAAAAGAATTACATAGTGAGATAGAATATTGTATAATGATAACTTTCTATTGATGAGATGAACGGCAATGTAGGTTTTTTAGTTTCATTTTGTTCTTCCTCCATCTCCTTGCTTCTGTAGCTGCCAATGCCTCTTCAGAGTTTTTGACAGGGAACGTGACAACACGTTGGTCCTTCAAAGACGAGTCTTGCGTTTTTACCTGTCCAGTAGAGGTCATTGATGAAGCCATGAAGTCTGCTTGCTCAGGATGATGGGTTTCTAGACCTGACTGGAAATGGAGTGTCATTTCCGTGTGAACATGCTTCGTTGAAGAAATAGAATCTTCTGTCTTATCTTTCCCAGGTAGTGAAGAAGAAGATTCATTGTGGTCAGAGTAGGATTGGGGGAAATATTGTCCTGGGGAGTGAAAGGGGATGAACCAAGGCAATGGCAGCACAAGAAGTGGAGTAGTAGGCTCTCCAACACTGCTGATGATAGAATAATTTTGTGATCCATGTTGCACCACTGGAGTGTGGTTATAAAAGGAGTGAGCTGTTGATGTTGAAGAAGACATCCCTTGTACTGGATAAGAAACTTCATGTGTTCCCTGCATCTCTTCCTTGACTGCTTTAGTCATCTAACATTACCATTAAGCATTGAAATGCGTTAACAAAAAAGAATGGGAAATAAGTTGATTAGATTTCAGTAGGCCATATGCCAAGTAATACTACGTATTATATTTGGAATAATATTGTATTTGTAGTGTTTTATATTTAGTGATATCTTTTTCTTTATCAAATTGTAAATCCCTTCTCTAAATCACGTTAGATTCTTTATCTCCTATTGCTTGGACAGCTGGACTCATATACGTATTATGTTTATTAATATAATTGTGCATTCAATATTACCTGTCTGTTGTCTTAGAGGCTTACACTTGCAAGCACATTCGATCTTAACAGGGTAGCTGCTATATATAAATCACGAGAAATAGCTGAATTCCTTCAGGGCTTGATTTCAAATTCAGATGGACGGAGAGTTTTGATTTTTATTTTATTTTTTTTATTTTTTTTACATTTGAATTATAGAAAAGAAAGTGAAGAAAAAAACCCAACAAATTGAGATAAGTTAGTTACATTACTACATAAAACCGGTCCTCAATAAATATAACTCGTGCCAAACAAAGCACTGGTTTTCTGTAGCAAGGGAGCACCCACTGTTGAATCTAAAACAATTGAAAGTCCAACTTGTAAGTTGTAAGTGGCTCTTTTACCTGTGCTCTTAGCCTATCATTTGTGCTTTTCAAACCATCATACTCTTTTGCTGCTAACTCCTTTTCCTATACATCAGAGCAGAAAGTCTCAGAAAGATTATACTTCGTATAGAATACTTGGATTTAAATACATTAAAAAGATATTGAAGGATGCATTTCACCTCTCTCAAGTTAAAGGTTAAAGTGATAGTTTTATTGTACTCCCTCTTGAAAGCTTGTTCCTATAGGGTTTTGACAATTTTTAATAAGTTAAAATTGTAGAGTACTTAATACTTAATAGTGTACAAAATCGAGAATTAAACAAAAGTCGGAATAAGAGCCCGTTTGGTAGCACGAAAATCGGCTGTTTTGGCTGGTTCTGCTGAAATTTACGTATTTCTAGTGAAGTGGCTGCATTGGCTGATTCTGCTGATTTAAAACACAATTATTTTTAAAATATATTTTATTAATAAAATAAAGAAAGAAAAAATTATATGTAAAAATAGCTAAAATGGTCAACACAATTATTTTTAAAATATATTTTATTAATAAAATAAAGAAAGAAAAAGTTATATGTAAAAATAGCTAAAATGATCATCTACAGTAACTTCATCCAATATAGTCAGAAAAGTAACTCCAACTTTACTTTTTTCTGCTTATTACACAATTCAGCACGCGAAAGCAAAAGTTACGTTTTTGGAAAGAAAGAGAGAAAAATAAAAACCAAGGACAAAAGAAATAAACTACGGAGTATAGAAGATGTGAAACTTTTTCAATTGAAAATGTGAAATAGACCACCCTAATCGTCATATTTAAGAATCGCCCACTTACACAATTTCATGAAAAACATCAAAATAACACGTTTGTTACATCTTAAGTGCCAAAATACTGTCCAAATTATAGGGAAACAAAAATCTTTATGGTTTTAATATTTTCCTTTTGTTACATCTCCTTTCCTTTTCTCTTGACCATATTCCAATCAGAAATTGCCTTAAATAAAAGTAAAAATGTTTTGAAATTCCAAAACATGACTATCATGTTTTTTATTCTCTGAATATGAGTAGTCTGTCAAGTTTGGAATAAAATGTCATGTTTAAAGCCTAGTGATGCCAAACTTGGCAGAAATTTACTCCTGTTCAGGGAATAAAAAACATGATAGTCCCATTTTGGAATTTCAAAGCGTTTTTACTCCCATTTAGGGGATTCTCTCTATTCCAATCCACACCCGGCCCTTGGTGGTCCACATTTTTAAAAGTATATACACTCAATTAAATTTGTTATTTGACTAAACATATTTTTGAACAAAATATATCTCTATTCTGCCCTTCCTAAAAAGTATGATATTGAAAAATGAAAATTAATAGTTAATGACGATAGTACTTTTGCGTAGGGTTAAAATAGCATTTTATCACTCAAAAGTTTAAACACGATTATGGGTCATCCCAACAAAGAATGTGAAAACCTAATTGCGAGATGGAGAGCATTTTTCTGAGTGGATTAAATGTGCCTAACAAGTAACAACGACTAGGTTTAGTTAATAATAGTTTTCTCAGTCTATTTGAAACACAGTTTAGACTTTAGACTTCAGAGTTAAATCTTCTATAGGAAATTATGAGAAAAAGGACGCGCGTTAAGGACCTTTGGCAGTATGCACTAACGAGAAGAGTATTTATAATAACAAACCTGTAAATAGAAAGGAGGATAGAAAGAAATAGGAAAACAATATTCACAAGCCATTGCAACCTTTTAATAATGTTTATCGATTCATTAAAAAAAATGTTTATTGATGTGGTAAAACATGTTCATTGACCGTTCTTCATGAATTCGTGTGTGCAATTAAGATTCGTGTGTGGTAAAAATGTTTATCGATGTCTGTTATATGTCTATTATATGTGTATTTTAGAATTATCGAGGTTTGTCTAGTGTGGTCTAGTTGATGCAGTTTGTTTAAGTCTATTGCTCTGGATAGAAACAAATCCAATTAAAAAGAAGTTTTATAGGGAGTGGAATAAATTGAAAGAGATAACTTAGGAAGTACTAGTATTTGCAAATCGATTGTCAAAGTGATTTAAAAAACAATGACTAATAGTAAAAATTGATAGTGTTTGAGAAAAATCAATTTTGAAAAGTAAAAGTTGGTACTGTTTGATAAAATATGTGTTTTTTTGTGTAATAGAAAAAGTTAAAAATATTCACAAGCCATTGCAACCTTTTAATAATGTAACAAACCTGTTAATAGAAAGGAGGATAGAAAGAAATAGGAAAACAATATTCACAAGCCATTGCAACCTTTTAATAATGTTTATCGATTCATTAAAAAAAATGTTTATTGATGTGGTAAAACATGTTCATTGACCGTTCTTCATGAATTCGTGTGTGCAATTAAGATTCGTGTGTGGTAAAAATGTTTATCGATGTCTGTTATATGTCTATTATATGTGTATTTTAGAATTATCGAGGTTTGTCTAGTGTGGTCTAGTTGATGCAGTTTGTTTAAGTCTATTGCTCTGGATAGAAACAAATCCAATTAAAAAGAAGTTTTATAGGGAGTGGAATAAATTGAAAGAGATAACTTAGGAAGTACTAGTATTTGCAAATCGATTGTCAAAGTGATTTAAAAAACAATGACTAATAGTAAAAATTGATAGTGTTTGAGAAAAATCAATTTTGAAAAGTAAAAGTTGGTACTGTTTGATAAAATATGTGTTTTTTTGTGTAATAGAAAAAGTTAAAAAAAGATTTCAACTTTTAGCTTTTAAGTATGGGAAAGTTCCCGAAATAGGACTAAAAGAGTTTGAAAATTCCAAAATAGGACTAACATGTTTTTATTCCCAAAATAGGAGTAATTACTGCCAAGTTTTGAAAATACTGCCATGTTTGAAGTCTGGTACTGCCAAAATATGGCAGTAATTAGTCCTATTTTGGGAATAAAAACATGGCAGTCCTATTTTGAAATTTTCGAACTCTTTTAGTCCTATTTTGGGTAATATCTCTTAAGTATTTAATTTAAGTAAAAATTGACACTCGAAAAATACCATTTCCAACTTTTTTAAGCCAAAAACTGAAAATCATTTTTTTTGCAAACATACCCTTGAGAACACTATGTAGAACAAAACATTAGTATTGGGATTTGGGGCCATTGGTATAGCTAGATGGTGAGAACTCCGGTACCCATTTAAAAAATGGGGTACCGTACCTACCATTCACTTGATTGGTCCACATAGGAATATCAATTTTAATTTAGACTTAAATAATTCAACTGCAACATTCTAATTGGTCTATGTGGACAAATGTACGATACCTTTTGGGTACCATAGAATCTAGCTAGATTGATATTGAAAGTGATGCTTAAAAGTACAAACCTTCTTCAAATTCTGATTCTCGGACACCAAGTGAGCTGCTCTTCGGGTCAACTCGTCATACATAGCCTGCACCAACAAATTCAAACAAAGAGATTCAATTCCATCAACGAGACACGCACTATATTCATTTGACCTCACCTAGTCACCTAGGTAGTATGTACTCTATTCGTATGTCATGGTAACCGTCGCACTAAGATTGAGAAGACATGAGTATCTGGTGTGATTATTAAGTCACAACTCTTACCTGTCTACGGCGGATTGTTTGCCGAGCTGATTCTCTGTTTGCAACAACCCGACGCAGCCTTTGAGCCTCCTTCTCTTCCTGCACAAAAAACACAAAAATGAAGTGAGAACTCGTAAGAAGTCATTATAACTTCTTACTAGTAAATGAGAAAGACTATATATTGACTTTGAAGCACAAAAACTCGAGTACAATTTTGTTTCGAAAACTTGTTACTTGGGAAAAGGTGCAAATAGGCCCATGTACTAACAAAAAAAGATCAAATAAGCCCTTATTTAGGAGACTTTGTCCAGCCGTCGCCATTTGGAGTGGTTCCCGGTGGAATTTTTTGATGAAATTTTTTGAGCATCTTATTCATTAAGTCTAGTTTACTCATACCAAATTTCAGCTAAAACTTCAATCGGGAAGGCATTCAAATGAATTCTTGAAAATAAATGCGCAGTTAGAAGCGCAGTTATCTTCAAGAATTAATTTGAATGCCTTCCCGATTGAGGTTTTAGCTGAAATTTGGTATGAGTAAACTAGACTTGATGAATAAGATGCTCAAAAAATTTCATCAAAAAATTCCACCGGGAACCATCCCAAATGACGACGGCCGGACAGAATCTCCTAAATAAGGACTTATTTGACCTTTTTTAGTAAGTACATGGGCCTATTTGCACCTTTTCCCCTTTTTTTTTTAAATTAAAAATGAGGTTTCCTATTTCGTGTTTACCCATGATTCCGATTATTAAATCGAATCATGATCAATTTGAGTTTGTTTAATTACTTGCCTCTGCCACACTTCGTCTGGATTTACACCCAGTGATCGAGGAATAATCATAATCGCACGATGAAAATAACGTCCTTGATGATGAGTTCAAAATCTCAGTCATTTTTCCAGACCCTCCCATAATATTTGACGATAATGTTAATCCTTCTTTTTGCGGGTCATCCCCTCTCTCTTCACCATCCTGCGCCTATAATAAATACAACCACTTATTTAATAAAGGTAGATTCTATGGTACCCATAAGGTACCATACCTTTGTCTACATGGACCAATGAGAATGTAACAGTTGAATTATTTAAATCTAAATTAAAAATGATTAAGTGATGTGATCCAATCAAATGAATGGTAGGTACGATACCCCATATTTTAGAAAGGTACCGGAGTTGTCACCTTTAACAAATTATATACCCCTAACTTAGCTTCCATCAAAGCTTTGACAAGTTTAATCCTCTTGTAAGAAATAAAGAGTAATAAAATAAAAATTACGATAGTATGTGATTGATATTGGTACTATAGGAAGAGAAATAATACTCCATCCGCCTTAAAAAAAATTTGCCAAATTGATTTTTTGTTTATTCTCAATTAACTTTGAGTCTTTGACCATTGATATTTTTAACAGAAAATTATTTTGAATATGAAAATTATATCAAAATATTCTTTATTTAAAAGATTCGCATAAAAGCATAGAAATTATAAGTTATATATATATATATAGGGAAAATGGAAACTAATAATCCAACCTTTTAGCGGTCTTCTTTCAATAATCCCACTTTTTGATTATTCATGAATAATCCAACCTTTGCACCACATCTTCATTCATTGGTCCCTGGTCGGCTAATGACCTACTATTCCAAGTTATTTTCTTATCTTTGCAAAAATATTATCTTTGTGAAAGATGAGATTTATGGTATAATGATTTGCAAAGATAAGAAAATAGCTTGGAATAGCAGGTCATCAACCGGTCAGGGACCAGTGAATGAAGATGAGGTGCAAAGGTTGGATTATTCATGAATAACCAAAAGGTTGGATTATTGTAAGAAGACCGCTAAAAGGTTGGATTATTAGTTTCCATTTTCCCTATATGTACACACATATTTTCCATTATAAGTTATATATATATATATATATATATATATATATATATATATATATATGTACACATATATATAATAATCAAAATCAAGTTATATACGAAGTATATATAATAATTAAAATCATTGATCAAAGTTCACCATCATTGATCAAGAAAGTCAATATGACGAACCTTTTCGGGGCAAAATTAGTATGAAACATAAAAAAACCAAAAGAAAGTGAAAGTGCCAATGTTTTTTAAACTTCTAAAGGAGGAAAGATGACAAAATTATATGTGGTATAGAAGACCGTACCCCACCGGAGATGAGATACAGATCTAGCAGCGGTGGCGGCGGAGATGCATGTCCGGATGCACCGGGACCTGTAGAAGGATCGGGGAGCATGGATGAATGCGCTAAGCCGGCTAACGCTTGAGCCGCCTCGAGTTCACCACAGTCCACCATTTTCCTATTACCTTCGTCACGCTCATTATATCCCACGCATATACCGCTCCTCCTAAAGGCCATTATTACTGTCACAACTTGAAGTTGGCTGTGGCAGCTGAGGCCTTGGAGGTTTAGCAAGAAAGAGGAGCGATTTGTGATTTGTATAAAAACCGGGCACTTTCTGTAATTTATTTTTGTAGGATGAAGCTTTGCCCTCCCATGCAATGACACGTGGTCTGCCACTTCTTGACACCATGCCATGCGACGGCATGTATCCAAGAACGCCACGTGTACTTGGGACCCACCAAGCCCACATCTCGCTGCCACGTGCCCGTTTCTTAAGGGCCTGGCTGGCTTAAAACGTTTCTCGTCCGCGAAAGGCCAATGCTTGCAAAAATAGAGAAATAATATTATAAGCCGACGATGGAATCTTTGCAATGAAGTAAGGTTTAAGTTGAAGAACAAAAAAAAGAATAAATGAATTGAAGGTTTTAAAGCTACATAATAAGCGATGGGTCGCATATTATTTTAATATTAATATATTAATAAATAATACTGTGAACTTTTTATTTTTCCCAATAAGCCCACCTTACTATATACAAGTATACTAATATGAGCCCGTTTGGAGAACTCTGTTTTCGACTTATCAGGCTTATCAGCCAGCTTTTTCACCAAACACGTAACTTTTACTTTCGCGCGCTGAATTGTTCAATAAGCCGAAAAAGTAAGGTTGGAGTTACTTTTCTGGCTGTATTGGCTGAAGTTACTGTAGAGGACCATTTTAGCTATTTTTACATATAATTTTTTCTTTAATTTATTAATAAAATATATTTTTAAAATATTTTTTTCTTAAATCAGCAGAATCAGCCAAAACAGCCACTCCAGCCAGAATATCATAAATTTCAGCAGAATCAGCCAAAACAGCCGATTTTGGTGCTACCAAACGGGCTCTATACCTAATATAATTAAATTTTTTTGTATGATAGTGGACTAGTGGTTGATACAGAAAAAATTATGGGAAAGAGTGTTTACACAAATGATTCTTATAATAATTAAATACGATTTTTTTACAAGAATATTATTAAAATAAAACTTATTTACATAAATGTGACTATTCATTACTATAATGTAGTGTTGTGGTAACTTAAGTTCAAAATTTGAACATGAATTACTATTATTTCATTACTACTCTAGTAACTAATCATATTTGTGTAAATCATCTTTATTTTAGTCATATTTATATAATTATTTCTTATTTAAATAGTAAAAGAAGAAATAATTACATATACATAACCAAAATAAAGATGGTTTACAAAAATATGACTAGTTACTAGAGTAGTAAAGTAATGAAATCATAGTAATTGATGTTCAAGTTCAAGAAGTCAATAACCTATTACTCCCTCTGTCCCTAAAAGAAGTTTCAAATAAATTCTTGAAACTTACTGCACTTTATATATGCGCAGAATGTGCAGTAAGCTTCAAGAATTTATTTGACTGCCTTCCCGGTTGAATTTTGAGCTGAAATTTGGTATGGACAAACTAGACTTGATGAGGAACATGCTCAAAAAATTTCATCAAAAAATTCCACCGGGAACCGCCCCAAACAGTAAAGTTCGGACGGTCCCTCCCGTCCCTCCGGAAGGACCTGATCTTTTCTGTATATATATATATATATATATATATATATATATATATATATATATATATATATATATACACACACTATCTGAAGTAAAATATTAATTATAAACCGTTATTAATCAACCTAGCTTGTTCCATACTTATGGGGTTGGCTTTATTTTAGGGCACTATTGTAAAAAGTTTATATTTTGTTACTTTTATGTTTTGAATATTAATAACATAACTTTCTTTTTATGCATGTCCCCAAAGAAGTTTCCATTTTTATAATAGGAAATCACTATTATCCCAAAAGTCACAATTACCTAAACTTGGAAAATTAAAACAAAACTCTACTTTACATAAATACGAAGTATGTGTGTAAGTCAAATCAGGATGAAGGGAGTATTAACTTTAATATTGAGCTCGTTTGGATTTCGGCCTCCCACCCTCTGCAATTTGCAGCGATTCAAGTTTTGGGTGAATGGCGGTTCAGGCGAAAACGCCGCTAGCCAAACATACCAATTGATTACACCAAAAAAACAGATACGAAAGCATAATAAGCTAGGATAAAAGGGAAGACGACCCAAGGAAGAGAAACAGGTCAGGCGGTGGCAGAGGCGGCGGAGATGCCCATTCCGGCGGCGCATCCGACCTCCCTGTAAGAAATTAAAGCCACGGAATGTGTTAAGCCAGCTGGCCAAGGGTTGATCGAGCCGCCGCCTCCGGTTATAGCCAGTCAACCATGCATGATCCTCGATCTGTGTATTCCAACTTTTTTTCGTTTTTGTGGCTGATGAAGCAGAGTGGAGGCTCGGAAACTTAGCTCCCTAGGAAAGTACACGTGTTTTTGAAGCTCCACCACGCCATGCCATGTGAAATGCGACGTTTCTACGATCGCCACGTGTTTTTACCACCAAGCAAGAGCATCTCCATTACAATGTTCACGTGAGCGATAACCATATAAATATTAATAAATAAATATTTAAATGGTTTTATATAGTTTTGATAAGTTTTTCTTTACAATGTCAAGGTGACCGTCTAGATGTTGACATTGCTGGAAAAAACTTACCAAAATTGTATACAATCATTCAAATTAGAAGATAAATAATTTATTTGCTAATATTTATGTGGCCATCTCATGCCACATTTACATCATGCACATTGTAGCATTGGAGATTCTCTAAGCAATTCCAGGTCTCTCTGTCACGTGTCTCTTTCATAAGGGCCCGTTAGGTTTATTTTACTAGTATGTCCACCCGTGTGTCCAGTGCCAGTCTTAATTAAGTTTTTTCAGAAAGTAAAAATGAAAAATAAAGTTTAATGAAAAAGAAAGTAAAAATACACATAATGAATAAACGTCTCAGTCTCATGCCAAATATTTCAATTTGTGTTATTATGCGAAAGTATATACTATGTATATGTTATACATTGAATTGAAAATACAAAAATGAATACATAATCAAATATTATTACAAAAAATAATAGTTAAAAAGCGTTAGTTGATGGGTGTACTGTAGTTTTGAAATGAAATTGATTACCATTTTACATTTCTATTTGTCACATTAAGTTTGTCTAATACCATATTTAATAAGTCTAACCCACCATGAAAGGGGTTAGCCCTATGGATTTTGACCGATTTTGAAAGATGTATCTATAGTCAATTGAATTCGTTTAAACTATGATTGATCAATTCACATACAATTCACTTCCTCTATAATTTTAACAAAAGCTCTAAATATCGATCTTACCATCGATGTTACCGTGCACTGCACGGTTCATACTCCGTAGTTTTATTTTTGATTTTTTTATTATTTAATTTTAATGTTTTTAAGTCATTTATGTATTTTGATATTTTTACTATCGTATCTATTTTTGTTTCTATGCATGTATTTTATTTTTTTGTTATTTATAATCTTCATAAAATTTGCCAATTGTCTTATTGTTTTTAAAAATGACCTCCAATAGTAGGTTAAATGATTAGATTGATTGTGTTTTCAAAATAAACACACTTATATAATGGTCTTTAATGTATAATTTCAATGAATTTGAAATAGTAAAAAAGTGTGGTTGAATCTTTTATCAAAGCTACTACATACTTATTTGTAATTAGGAATATTAGCAATTTTGAGGATGTTTTCTTTTGGACTGTTTTCAGTCCCAGACCAGACCAGATCACACAAGACCAGACCAAACTTCCATAATTATAAAATATACGGAGACCAGATGCTTAGCAGACCAGACCAGACCAGACCAGACCAGACCAGTTCAGACCAGACTAGACCAGACCAGATCAAATCAGACTAGACCAACAAATTTCAGTCCAAAAGAAAACATCCTAAAAGTGTGTGGAGGTGGATGATATATTTAATATCAACTCACTTCTATTCCATAGACAGTAATATGCATAAGAATTATTAACACCACCTTAATAGGGATTTTTTAGACCGTGTAAATGTTAAAGTAATTTTAACAACACTTTGAATGGGTAGAAGTAAGAATAGTTTAATAGATATTTTTATTACTTTTTATGAACATAGTCGCTTAGAATTTTTAATAATAACTTAGAAGAATTTGTACGTACAAATATGACATCGATTAAGATGTTTTCATAAAGATGAAATAGAACATAAACATAGCAATGAAGATCATAATTACATAGGTCAAACCCGACTTACCGAGACCTGATTAGTTAAGAAAATTTCAGTCTATGTGAAAATATTCTTAGGAGGTAGTACTAAATTAAAAAGAGTAATAAAAATTACTATTTTTAAATTATATATTTGTTTTTATTGAATCATAGACTAATAATTAATGAATGTAAAGCTCACAGTTCTATATATGTTATTAAATTATATACTACATATGACATTGTACTTAAACTTGACTTTACACATAAAATTGTGTGCAATGTAAAGGAAATGAATTTATGATAGTGGCTATGTATTTATAAATAGTTGGAAGTTGAATAGGGCTTCTTTAATGTTTGTATATGTTGAGTTTAGGAAGTTGAATAGTTTTTGTTTTATTTGCCCTTTTAAATGCTTACAAATATTGCACACATATAGGATGCTTTGTACTTGTGCTTATGTTGTGTTCTTATGCACTTCATACATAAATGCTATATATGAATAGAGTAAAATTAATTTGTGATGGTGTTGACACATGTCAAATTTCAGAGTAAAGAGTGTTGCCACATGTCATCTATTCTTTGGTAAATTACACCGTACAACCGTTTTTTTTGTAATTAACTGCAACTTTGAGCCTTGTTGTTTAGTCTTATCTCCATCCTTCAATTCACACAGGTTTCATCCGCTTCTCCCAGCTTTATTACGTTCCTCTCTTTCTTCTCTACCGCATTCAACCGCATTCTCTCAAGCTGAAGATTTCCGTTTGATCATCAATGCAAGTAATATTTCTTCCATCGATCATTGTTGAACTATTATTTTCTTCTTCCCCCATTCCTCTATTTCTATCTTGTTATATTTGATCTCTTAAACAAATTTGTTTGCTCGGTTTTCTTTGCTTTTTCCCCTTATTTTGCTTCATATTTTGCTCCAATTTTGAAAATTACAACCTGTTATTGCCTTGATCAATTTTTCTTCTTTTGTTGTTTCCACTTCGATCTTACATCTTGTGCTTCTTCCACAGCTTTCATCGTTCTCCTCATCTTTATTATTTACTTCTGTTGGTTCTTGCGCATGTTTAGGTTTTTTGCAGTTGTTCTCAATTTCGACCACTGAAGGTGTAAATAATTGTTCTTAGCTTATTTTCTTCTCTCGTTGGAACAAAACCATTTTTTTTCATTCAGTTCAAATTTTTATGTTGCTGCATTTTTTTAATCCAAGAATTGATGCTATGTCTAGTTGTGGGGGTAATTTTTCAAGGAACACCTTCACTATATTTGATTTCTTTTGATGAGTATTTCTTTACTTAGTAATAATCATTTGTTTTTTTTTGAATTGTTGTCCCCTGTCTAGATGATATTTCTTGCAGTGGAAAATTAATAGAGGATATTTGTCACGCCCCGGACCTACCCGGACATGTCAACAATCCGCCGTACAGTACGAATAGTCAACCGCAATCCAACACATCCATACTATACAAGGCGCCTGGAACATCATTCACACATAGTACATTCATAAACAATATAATGAAAAATATTCATTTAAAGCAGCAGAAACATTTTTTACAAGTGTTATGCCACACTTGGCAACAGAGGCATGCAAGCCCAAATAATTATTCAAAAATAATAATATCCATGAGCATTATTCATATTGTTTTTTAAACAGAAACGGAGGAAACACGAACCACGTCCCCTCTCGTTGAATCTTCCCGAACAATGGGCAATGGTAGCAACCTTCAAGTTCTACCTGAAACTGTGAGGTGGCCTCCCCCGTTAAGTATTTCTTTACTTAGTAATGATCATCTGTTTTTTTTTTGAATTGTTGTCCCCTCTCTACATGATATTTCTTGCAGTGGCAAATTAATAGAGGATATTGAGGCCTGAGGCAAACTTTGTGAAGTTGATTGCACTAATATTTTCTCTCTCTCTTTTTCTTAAGAGAAAGATTATTTTATTCAAGAAGAAAAAATTAAAATACAAGTACAATCATGATAACAATACATCCCAAACAAATGACCGATAAAAGCCCAATCCTTCTAAGTAAAAAAGAGCAGTCTGTCCATGACCCTGAAGCATCTCTGAGCTATCCGTCCTAACATGCACAATTATCATCCAAACAATCTAGTACGACCCATTATAGCTAACCCATCTCCAGTCTGTCACGCTCAACTCGTACTAGTGTACGCCCCATTGCTCCGACCTGCTGCTCTTCCTACCCTGCGCGAGAACCGTTGTACCAAAAACATCAATAACCAAAGGTGTCACCGTCCCTAGCTAGTGGTGCGCGAGAACAGTTGTAACACTCCAGCCCCGCAGGACCCAAGGTAGTTTCTCCAGACCTCTAGTACTGTCCCCACAAACCACCACGAGCCTTTACCGCGCACTTTGTCCTCACTCATGCGCGCCCTAAGAAACTTCCCATGGGTCACCCATCCCAAGACTACTCCCGAGCAAGCACGCTTAACTTTGGAGTTCTTGGGTGATGAACTCCCTTAAAAGGAGATGCACCTCTGTTGGTATGAGTAGTACTATTAATCCTTTAAATTAATCTCAAATGTTGCAATCACCCCCACTTAGGATCTCAACGTCCTCGTTGCGCCCTTAAACCATTCTCAAATCTCAATCAAATCCTAGAATCCTCCCCCGCTAAGTGCCCGCCCGATATCAAACGGGTCAGCACACTGTCGCAGGGTTGTTCTGATACCATATGTAACACCCCGGCCCCGCACGACCCGAGGTAGTTACTCTAGACCTCTAGTACTGTCCCCACAAACCACCACGAGCCTTTACCGCGCACTTTGTCCTCACTCATGCGCGCCCTAAGAAACTTCCCAGGGTCACCCATCCCAAGACTACTTCCGTGCAAGCACGCTTAACTTTGGAGTTCTTGGGTGATGAGCTCCTTTAAAAGGAGATGCACCTCTGTTGGTATGAGTAGTACTATTAATCCTTTTAAATTAATCTCAAGTGTTGCAACAACGGTGACCCATCAAACCCCTGCAGAGCCCCAAAGTAGTCGTCATTCGTCTAGTGAATGTCCGACCATCGCGAACCTGGGTTCCCAACCAAACTCCTTGTCACGAATCCCGAGTCCCGAATTGACATCTCCGGTCTCTAACAGTTGCGACCTTATATAACAAAGTTCCCTAGAACAGAACGATGTTCCTTTTGCAAATTTCCCTTCTAGAAAGATGCAAATGCTTCCCTAAGCTTGCCAGCATTATTCAAAGTGCCAGTAACCCAAACCGGCGCCCTGCGGCCTTCATCTCCGGCGAAGGCAGGAGATAAAATAGAACATTTCTTCCCCAAATATCTTTACAAGTCACATAGTGTTGATGTTTGGTCTATGTTGTTTACTTTGAGCCATTGCTATTTATTTGTACATTTTTATGGATTCAGATTACTTGGAATCTGGTGATACCTTAAGTGAAGATTTTTTGTCTGAAACTGAATCTGTTGTTGTCCTACCAAGTATTGTGTTTTCTTACATTTTATCACTTCGCTATGTTTTTTGTATTCTTTTGATGAGTATTGCTTTACTTAGTATCACTTCGTTATCCCCTGTCTAGATGATATCTCTTGCAGTGGCAAATTAATAGAGGATATTGAGGCCAGATGCGAACTTTTTGAAGTTAATTCCAGTAATAGTTTCTCTCTTTACAAGTCACATAGTGTTGTTGTTTGG